TTTATACTTGGCTTATTCTTTTGGAGAATCTTTTTGTATGACTATTTATAGCTCTCATGTTACCCTTCACATGACAGGTGTATGCTCTGTACGCATTTATCAAAGTTGCCAGATGGTGCTCCGAGGTCCGCTTCGCAAAAGTCCTCGGATAGATCTTTTGGACCATCTTGTTTCGAGTATTACTGTGGCAAATAAAGAAATCTCCTCTATTTTATATTACATACGTATTTAAAGGTTAAACGATATAATTTCCTATTGTATTCTTTCGGTTTTTTAACTTATGAAACTTTATTAATCTTTTCATACGCGTGTTTTATTGAGGACATACTTCACAATGATCATTGTCAACTTTTTTTTCAGTGCTCATTGGGCTCAGGCTCTATAAAAAAGTAAGTGCTGAATTGCTTTTGTTTTATTTTATTTTATTTTATAACTGCCTAAAATGGATATTAATAGCTACTTGTGATTTGTACTAATTATATAATGACAAAGAAAGCAAATTGTCATGACATAACTATCTATATTGTGATAAAATCTGAGCTTATTGACTAATAGGACTTCCATGCATCTTCTTATACAGTTTTATACCCTTGCTTATGCTTCTGCTAAATATCCCAAAGGCTCTGATAAATTTGGTTTCTGGAAGTCCTTTATAGAGGCTCTATTATAGACTAGAACTCCACTTTTCACTCGGTCTTTTTTTTCCAGACTAATAGCTAATATACTTATTATTAATTTCAGAAATAATCATACAAGTTATGCCATAAAGCTGGTATCATTGGGACCTACCAAGTCGAATTCATTTAAAAAGTACACTACTCATACGGATTAACTAGGCTCGTCCCGAATTCGCAGACTATTTGCTCAGGCGTTGGCATAAGGCACATTTCCACACGTAGCAAAAATGTATAAAGGTCAGCTTCCTAAGATGGAAGGGGTCCACGCTTACTGGATTTTCATATCTTTACTTCTAACTTGAAGCACTCTTAAAAATCACATGGGGCTTACTTTGGTGATAATACTATGGTTAAACTCCTCAATGAAAAATAATCTCCAACATGAGTTTCTGCAACGAGAACCAGTATAATAGGCAGAGTTAATAATATTTGTTGTTTCTTCTAGTCCATATCGCAAGAGTAGTCGTTCCAGCTAAGCCTAATCCTTCTGTTTGTCTAGACACGCTTTATCTCTATTTTATTGGCATGCCATCTATTCCTCCCATTCGCCACATGCCAGAGAGGATGGTGGCCTGGATGCAGTCTACTGGTGGAATACTCTGCGGCCCAATCTGCTGGCCTTGTCTTGCACACCTCGAGGTCTCTTGACTCTACAAAGAGCTGGTCTCTTGGACGACATGGCCGAGTGTCTGGGCTCGTTGTATACACATATTGCGGACACAGAGGTGAGTAGCGGTGAATTTTCATCGTCCTTGGTGTCTTTGACAAATGGTCCAACCTCTCCTAGAGAGGACCGAAGGAGTTAGTTTACTTACCATTTACTGCAAAGATCAATCAAATTTTTGGCTTGCAAAGCCACTCTGCCTCCCACAAATAAGGGCCTGGCTGGTCGGGCGCTGTTGTTTCGCTCGTCTTTATGAATAGATGGATTACACTGAGCTAAAGCTATATAAAAGTGTAGCTCTGGTAACTTGGTAGATCCTGTAGGAAAGCCAATCATTTGATACATGTGTGAGATAGGAGGTCGAAATTTTATGAAAAAAATGGATTTCAAACAAAGTATTGCATATGTCTGTCTACCATAAAATTTATCTTTTACCTACTGAAAGATTATCATACAACGTGTCTTCCAATGACTGGAACTTAAGAAGTATTCTGAACAAAGAGCTTTAAACAAAATTTGCACTAGTCTAAGCTTACTTCCAAATAATGAATGCAATTTTAGAGTGAATTCTCTAATTGAAGGTATGAAGATCAAGATGGTGTGGCCTTTTGTGTGGATGCAGTCTTCTTTCGTTGTATAGAAGTTGTTTGACCTTGTTTTCGCAACTTGGTCATATTGGTAGTAAGACTTAGAGGAATGCACCTAGTCCGAATTCCATTGTATGCATAATCATTTCCAAAGTCAGACCGTGGACGTGGTACATTCCCAGACAATTCGCTGACATCATAGTCGGCATCGTCAGTGAGTTTTACCATTCGTAACACCATGTTACAAGCTCGTCAAAGAGACAAGTGAAGCTGATCCTTTGACCAAACGTGTGCTAAATAGTTATGGTATCTCCTCTTCTGCCACGGCCTATTCACATTTCATATATCCTCCAATCACGCCTTCAATGTCACAATATTTTACTTGCTTAATTAACTGTGGTACGGTGTGCCCTTTTGAGCGGCTTTCATAAGAACCCTCCGCACTCCACTCTTGCCTTATCACCCCCCTTCATCCTTGTGCTGGGAATGTTGATCAGAGTGTGACATATTGTTACGCAGTCTTTCTTCAGCTTATGGATTAGAGAAGACGGAAAAGTACTTATTACTGAGAGTAGTAATCTCATGGTCAGCTTCAACAGATCCTGAAAGAGATGGTTTCGGAGAGATGTGCTAATGTCAAATTATTGCACACACTGTAATGCAATCTTTAAATATTTACATTAACAATCAGTATCCTTGCTCTTGATTTAAAGACGACTAACCCAAATTGAGATCCTTTAGACACGAGAAGGACTTCGCAAATACATTTTTAAGCTGCCTCGCGTGCAGATATGTTCCAGGGGATCAGCAATTTATACTAATTCCATAATGCAGAATGGCCGAGTGGAGTTCTTCTTGAAGTAGTGATTATTTTATAAAAATTCTAAATTAATGGGTCTGGAATTATTTTACATCTGCACCATATAAGGGAATGAAATAAGTTTGAGGTGAATATCAGATTTGGTCCTAATAAGTAATTCTGAAGGCTTTTGGAATAGTCAAAACTAAGCTCTTTTACAATACTCATTAGGGATTCTGCAGCAATTTAGCCTTAGATCGATCGCCTACAGTAGAGGGAATGAGCGATTTTATTAAAAGATCTAACTCTAATAAGGCATCTATCGAGCCCCATTTATAAGCTCTGACTGTCTAAATAGTGGATCAGTAGAGCGTTACTTTTGTGTTTTGATTCAATGCCAAACTTTGCTTTTCCTAATTCAACAAGAGATGGCACCTATAATGGCATCAATCACAGAGACCTTTGTAATTACTGACTGAGTGACGCATTTCTATGTTCAGGCTGATCGAAACCGGACCACGATTGAGATCGACTTCGCACGAAATTCAATCAAATTCTCAAACTAATTAAAAATAGCTAAGAACGGAACTGTCTCTTCTAATTAATTAAAAGCAACAATTTCTGACTTCTGAGAAGATATGGCCTAATCTGTAATATTGATAGCTTGATTTAAAGCCTCATTGATGGCATCTTAGAAAATAGTTTACAAAGTAATATGCAGTAATGTTGCTGCACTTTTCATTTTACTCAGTGAGAGTATGTTTCAAAGCCATTCCTTACTATGATTTTTTGCTATTTTCCTAAAAGACTGAGATTGATTGTAAGTAATTTCCTCGTGTATAATGACACCTCCGAAATTCCCACTATACATGTGATTTAGCAGATTATGGCTTGCCTCAAAAGTTAAATCTACTCTATTAACCCGCGGAGGAGTAAAATGGCACTACAAAGTCCACAACCCAGTTCAAAATGCCGTTGCTGGAGATGATAGGGCCAAGACAAGTACAGAACTGCAGTTCTTCCTGCCTTTTAGGAAGGATAAGTGAAATTAAATCGCTTTGTCAGACCTACTTAATTCATAGTGGAAATTACATGACCATTATTTTAGACTTCGCTATGTGTTTTACCTTAAGAGACCCTGATCATATTCGTTAATAAGTAGGAGGAAGACCTTGAGGAATACACCTAATCCGGAGTCCATAGTATGAATGACAATTTCCGGAGTCGGACCGTGGACTTGGTACATTCGCACTGGCACCGTGGTCGGCATTGAGTTATTCGCATATTTCAACTGTCTTCCATACGCTGCAATCTTCCTTTGATTTCCGGTGAGACGTTTCAGCCAACTTTTCCTTCGAAATGGAAAATCATGTCAATATATATTACTAAGGAATTCTTCAAAACCCAGTTTTTTTGCATACCTTTATTTACCCTTGCCTTCCAAAATATATTGTAATCCAGTGTGGACTGAAGTTTGTTACCTCCTTTTTAAGTAGGCTTTCATCACTGCAATTTTTACCTCATATGGCTCTTATCAGCACACCTAACATGAATCGTACCCATGTGGTGCCAGGTTGCTACGACAGATTGCCACCTGTGTAAATATGTCACTAGGCAGACGGGAATTTCAAGGCTAACCAAGCCTTTTTCATCACATTTTTCTAGTGGGATTGCCGATGTATCGAGTCTGTATTTGCTAGTACAATTGGCCATATTGCTTATCTTTTTATTCAGTATGTTTCAGCTTTTTTAGGCATACAACTCTTTTTTTTCATTTTTTGTATAGGCAAGTTACTCTGATGAAGGATTCAGCCCTGACTTCTTTGTAAGTCAATTTGCCTCTTTTCCTTCTGGCATTGCCTGTCTTCAGCGCATTGGTCTCAACTGTCGTCATCATTTCAATCTTTTCTGGGCTTATTTAGAGCCTATCTATTTGTCGGTGTTCCATCTTCAAGCTCAAGTGTCTCAGTCTCTGCCCAGGTTAGAGACCACCCCACCGAGAACACATGACTTGTCAATGCAAAGCGAAAGACAGTCTGACCGAAAGCAAGAAAGACAAGAGGAAGGTATGAAAAATGGAGGGCAAGAGAAGGCTGAATCAGATAATAAGTTGTACAAGAATGGTGAAATATGGTATCGAGACAAAGCAATTTCATTGATGATGTCAGGCATAGATTTGATGAAACAAGTAAAGCTGATGGCCTTGCGCAGACAAGCTACTTGCAATCCCTACCACTGGCCAATTGAGCCCATCGACAAACTCGCCTTAAAGGTTTTATTTTACTTAGTATAATTTCATTTTGACATTTCAATTGCTTGTTCGAATTCCCAAAACTCATCCTAAATATTTATGAGGCTAAAATTGGACATCAATTTGTGACTCAGAGTCAAGTAAAATTCTCCCGATTGGCTCTTTGTCCACTTATAAAGTAGGCGGGCAACTAAACCTTGGCATTTCGCCAGTAAGGGGCCTAATAATGGTCTCAGAGTCACTCTTATGGTATGGATACGCAAACTGAGCTGATGGAATACTGGATGAGAAGACGCATCGGAAATCCAGTTCATCACAGAAGATTGACAAATTCTAGCTTTTTTTAAAGTTATCTCGATACACCGTCTTTATATTCATGTAAGTCTTTCTCCACCAGACCACTATAAGACTCAGATTAAAAGATAAAATAGATAATTTTTCTATAAAAATCTTATGGTAAAAGATAATAGATAGCAGACTAAGCCGAAAACATCAGCCAAGGTAAGTCAGTACGAGTGTAGTTTTCATGACAAGAAGGCTTTTAGTAGTACTAAAAGAATGCTTTACGTCACAGCACCCTGAAGGTAAAGCAATTGATGCTTAGCAACTATTGAGTTGACATGTGATAATGCCTGAAAGTAATAAGTATAACAGCTCTCGCTCTTT